GAAAATTTGCTACTACAATTTTTGATAGCGGATAGTGACTAGAGAATATCAATGTATTTTTATTAAAACATTTCTTCCGAGAATCCGGTTAGTTCAAAGGAAATTTAAAAATAACAATTTTTAGATTCTAAGCTTAAATGTGTTAAAGTATTACTGGCATATTTTTAATACTATTTTTTTAATATATTCAAAAAAGACAGGGAAAAGAAGTAGGTACTCTTTTTTGTTGACCAAAGTTTCGCTAATCTTTATTTGCATCCCCAGGGTGCTACAATATGTAAAATTAGTACAAATTACACAATAAAAAATTATTTTTTATCTTACACTAATTTAGGTTAGTTGTCAAGGTATTAAGAAAACGGAATATACAACTCATCTGCCTCCTGCAAATAGCGAAAACTATCATAATTTGTTTTGTTCTAAAAAAAGTTTTTACGTAAAACATATATTTAAAAAGCTTTTAAAGACAAACATATAAGTAAAACATATTGTAAAACCATCACAGAAAATGTAGTCATATTACACTTCTTCAAGAAATTAACGCACCACTTCAATAAATCAATTTTATTTGTAAACGAGCAAAGAATAAAAAATAAAACTTCTCTATAGTTTATTTTTATGAACGAGAGAGTAATTAGCATAATTTTAACTGGTATCTCCGACCACTTCATGGGCGTGCTCAAGATTAATTGAAAAATTACTTTGAATAATTGTAAAAAATAAATGAATTATTTCAGTGTTATAAAGTGTTATGTGTATGTAAACAAAAGTGACCTCTTTTATCACACACTATATTAGAACTGACTGGCCTACATTAAAAAGGGTTTTAAAAAATTCACATTTTTTTAAATTTTAAAAAATTACAAAAGAGAAAAAGAGTTTTTAAAACCGTCTAAGGTATGTTAAATAGATGAATAAAAATATTAATATAAAACTTACAGCTACTTGTTACAAATCCAAATCAGATTCAGAAGATGAACTTTCAGAACCAAGATTTATAATAACTGGCTCGATCATTTTATCAGTAATATTGTCCAGCTTCCACATTTTTTCCTCTTCTTTAATAGTGTGATTTACTGCCTTTTCCCAGTTTTCAGGTTTTACATTATTTACGGCCTCCAAAAACAACTGTTAACATCATGAATTTTAAAAGTGGTATTTTTTCTTGAAACTTCACTCTTTATCTGTGCCCATACCAGTTCAATCGGGTTTAATTCACAATGATATGGTGGGGATCTAAGTACTGTCATTCCACGATTTTTGGCAATATAATCAATTTCGTATTTTTTAAATTTTTCTTTATGAAGGGCACACAACGAATAAAGTTCCTTTCTTATAGATCCGGGATGGTACGTAATATTTTTTGAACTCAGTCAATTCTGCAAGTCTTTTTTTAGCCACTTGGTTGTGGGCAGTCCTTCTATAAGTCTGGAGTGATAACTTGCATTATCAATTACTATTACACAGTTCTTAGGAAGAAGATCTATCATTTGTTCGAACCATTCTTGAAAGCCATCAGCGTTCATGTCTTCATGGTAGTCACCGGTACGAGTTGATTCAAAAGTTAATAAACCACCTTCAACAAAACCGTCTGAACTGCCAATGTGTACTATTATCAGCCTGCGTCCCTTTCCTGATGGTGGGTTTAAACCAGTAGATAAGTTATTTACAAAAACGTGCCTTTGACTTGTAACAGTTTTATCCTGCCAAAATTTATTTGGTGTATGACCCTCGTTGATCCATGTTTCATCAAGATAAAATATTTTTCTTTTTTGGTTTCTCATTTCCTTTATGGTTCTTAGAAAATGTCTTCTTCATATGACAATATCGCTTCTTTCTAATAAAATAGACTTTCTGGGATTCTTTTTCCAGCGGAAGCCTATTTCTTTTAAAAGTTTCCATAACGTACTTCGACTCATTTCTGGGTAATTCTTATCATCTCGAACTGAGACAAGAACTTTATCCAATGTTGGAAATTCTTGTCTAAAGAAGAATTCATGCACTTTCCGTCGAAGTCCTTCTTTAAAATGATATTCTATTTGAAATTTCGGTTTCCCTGGAGCATTACGTGGCATTTGAAAACTACCACATTTCTCTTCTTTAATAACTCTGTAAATCGTAGATTTCCCAACACCAAGTGTACTGCTAACTAACTCAACGGTCTCGTCAACACTTTCACATAAACGTTTGTCTGTAAATGATTTAAAAACAATTAAATATTAATGTTTTTTCATTAACTGTTAAAAGACCAATTTTTCGGCGTTTACACGGCACTTCCAAATTTTCCATAACACTAGTATACACAATAAACTGCACCTTGCAACTGAAGTACCTACTTTTAGTGAACTGTTAAGAATTTTGAATACGCCACTTGGACCTTCCTACAAAATGGAAAAAACCCACTATAACATTTTCTGTGGAATAAGTTTAGAAGGTAATTATCTAGTCAATTACTGTCGTAGATTCCTGGAATTAAAGAATTAAATGTTTGATTGTTGAAACCCTTACTTCGTGGAATGCACTCATTTCAGATAAAATAAAACGTTTTATTTTATCTAAAGAATTAAACTTTATTTTGCAAATAGGTAGGTACTTAGTAAACTTTTATTGGTTATATATAACCAATAAAATAAACATCTTACATTTCTTGCAAATTCATTAGTACCTGTTAACCTCCATCACTCCGACACTGGCAACCTTATTTAGGGATTAGTAACCCTCACAACTATTGTATTCTATTCTGCTCCAACCTTTATACCTGGTGGTCATACTCAATTTAAAATTGTTTTCCTATATACTTCTGTAAACTTGTTGACAAATATCTGTTTTTCATTGAGTCACCCGTATCAACAGTTTAGGGATTTGCATACATAATTTATTGTTTTATTACTCTCTCATACATAAAAATACACTATAGATTTATTCTACATTTTATTAGTAATTATACCAATTTGTCTAATCATCAGAAAATGTTAAAGTATAGGAAAAAAAAATAAAACGAAAAATTCTAAAAAAATAATGATAAGAAAAGTAAACTAAAATATGAAAAAAGTCTTAATAACGAGTGTTTCCACGTCTACTACATATAACAGCCTCACATCGTTGCTCATATTTAAAATTAATTGCCGTATTTCATTTTGGTCTAGTTCTCTCCAAATCTGGATCAGACTCTCTCCCACTTTCTGTAATTTGTTTGGTTAGACCAAATCCGGACTATGTGCTGGCTATCCCATAGTGTTAATTTCTACCTCTTCAAGATAATTTCTGACGATCTGTACAGCGTGAGGTCTGGCATTGTCTTGCATAAGTAAGAAATTTTCACCGATATAAGCAGCGAATGGTACTACATCTTGCTCCAGGATCTCCAATATTATGTACCTTTCAGCTGTAACAGTTCCATTTTGTATGATCACTATGTCCGTAGCGGTCAAAGAAATACCACCCCACACTATAACGGATCCTCCACCAAAAAATGTAGTGTGTGAGACGTTACACTGAGCATATCGTTCGTTGGCTCGTCGCAACACACGAACACGTCTGTCTTTATTGTACAAACAAAATCAGGATTTATCAGTAAATAGCACTCGTTCTAAGATCAGCCTCTAACCAATTAACGTGTTCTCTGGTAAAATGTAGTCTCCCCCTTCGATGCTCTGCAGTTAATAGAGGACCTCGTGGGGCAATCCTACGTGTCAGATATTTGTGTTTGTTTGTTGTATGGTATTATTGTCAGTAGTTATATTTCCAATATTAAGAGATTTGTCATAAGTTTAGTTTTCTCAAAGTTTACCTTTAATCCTGCTCTTTCAGACAGACTTTTAAGCGAATGTATCATAGAAACTGTATCCTGCAAGTTATCTGCGATTAATACAACATCATCTGCAAACCCTAGATAATTTATTTAATCTTTCTCCATCTATGTTGATGCCAATATCTTGCCATCGAGTGTTCTTAAACATTGACTCTAGAACTGCCGTTAACAATTTTGGTGAAATATTGTCTGGTTGTCTAACTAATCGACCTAAGCTGAATTTTTCTGCCTCTTTGTAGTTTTCTGTCGTTCTTGGTAGCCTCCTACAACCCGGGGATTCATCGCACCCTTTGCCCACTATCCGTGAGTCCTACCGCTACCTTGGTTGTGAACTAGCGAGCTGCCGGGGACTGGGAGCCGTTTTCTTTAATGCCTGTTCATACTGAGGCGGTTTTGGCATTTAAATACCATGCTTGCCAGGCGAGTTGGTGAGTTAGTTTGGGAAATTGGTAGGATAGTAGGTATTGGGTAGGAATGGGGTTAGGACATGATTTCTCCCCACAGGAGTTGAGAGAGAACCAAGAGAGATTGTGAAAGAGTACCTACCCGCTACCCTTCATGGCTTAGGTTTAAGCAATACATAAATATCCATGGCGTGAGGCCCCTCAGACCGTGAGACTTCTCAGACCATGAGGCCCTCGCCCATGTTCTACGCCTTTGGCCCTAGAGTATTAAACCGTCATTCGTTTGTAACAAAAATTATACTTTATGTATATTTTTAATTTTTAAATTTTGCCTAATTCAAATTAACTTTATGTTTAATATAAAGTAGTTATACATAAAAATTAAATTAAATATAAAAATTCAAAGTTATATTGGAGACTAAAACTTGACCATACTGCTGATTATAAAACACATTTTTGCATACCTACAAAAAATTGCGTTACGTTACCTTTTAATATAATTTAAAGTCACTTGAGAAGGTAAAGAGACATATTGCTCTGTTTAATTTTAAAATATTACAAATATAAGTTTATTTTCTTAATGAAAAATTATAATTTAAATATAATATTTTTATATTTCGATTAAATTAGTAACCACACTTTAACAAAATTGGAGGTCACGCCTTAATTCATGCACTAATAAAGGCCTTTTATTTGAAACATTCCTTAACCTTGAGTGGCGATAATATAAAATTGTGTTTATTTAACCTACAAATATAGTATAATATTATTGCTAAAAAACTTACCTAAATTGATCCCTGGAGTTAAGCGTTTCTTGTTTAATAGATAAAATTACTGGACCTAGATCCTCATCATTTGTAAAGTAATTCCAATGTTCAGTACCATAAAAATACTTTTCGTAAGTCTCTTGCTCCACGCTAGTAAGTTCGAATCCTTGATTCTTTTCCCATTGCTCTTCTATCGTGGTTTTCTTCTTTGGAGAAGAGGTGTCATCTTCATCATCCTCGTACAAATCGTTACAACCTAAAACATATATTGTCATGTAGCAAAATACGTAGAAAAGAATACTAAACAACAATTTTACATATAAATAATATAGTGAGTAGGAATTATAGAAGTAAGATACGTGATAAATGCAGCTAAATCTAAAAAAAATGCCGACAAACTTTTTGTTGATCGTATCAAAATATCACGAAGACAATGTTCAGATCATAGTTAAACTCTTCAATGACGGATATAAAATTGCTAGAATGCTTGGCGATTCACTAAAGTCAAATAAAAATAACAAAAATAAGGCGATTAACGCTAGCCTAAATTTTTAATCGGATAGGGTACAATGTTGGAGTTCTATTACCCAGGACTCCCAGATGAAGAACATTTGGCTGATAGTTGTGCCCCTATCGAGCATCAGTGTGCTGTAGGTGGGAAACTGATGGTCTGGAGCATTGCTGTGCGATGGAGTGGTTCCTGTGTATAACTCGTATCAATACACTTTGCTCCAATGAATTGTTACACCCGAACGTAAGGAGTGAACCAGATCTAAAGACAAGCACCACAGTAACACTCTATATATGACATAAAACGTAAACATATTCACGCATAGATATATAATACCTATACTGCTTGCTTCAGTCTGAACCTATTCCCTTACATAAGTATTATGTCTTCGTACACCTTTTCTAATTTCCGCTGAAATTCTTTTATTTAGTTTTCTATATTCTTCTTTATTTCCCTTTTTGTTCTCGCTTAGGTTTTGTCGTATTTCTATGAGAGCTTTTGTATCTTTACTAATCTTTTCACTTTGATGTCACTTAGTGCGACAGAAAAAAAGATGCGAGCAGTCTTACATCTCTTTCTAGTGGGCAATGTTTATTGACCACGTGACCTTTTTACTATCAAAGGTTTAAATACATGCTATTTGATCACTCCTGATAAATTATTACATTTAGAGGATAAAAACCATCATATAATGTTGACACTACATAAACATTTATTGTGATAAAATGGAAAACATTAAATTGTCTTTAACCGATCAGCCGCAAGTACAGTAGTATAGCGATCAAAATAATACATTTTGTGATTAGTTACACAACAAAGTGCGGAAAACTGAGAATCCCAGCATAGTGGAATTTCAAGGAGAAGTAAAATAAAGTAAGAAAACAACTATAACGAGGATCAATGGAGGAAAGGTCAAATATTCACTTAAATCTTGCTTATGATGATCACATTATCATATTGATAATTTATCGTGCTATGCCTCCACGGCAATTTTAAAACACCTAAGACCTGATCGAAAAAAAGCAGAAAAATATGGAAATATAAGTAAAAGAAGAAAATAAAAATAGAAATAAAGATAAGTAGGCAGTAAAACGTCAAATGCCGATTGAGGGCCAGAAATATGAAGATTAATTTCTGAAATAAAAAAGCAAATTAAGGAAAAGGACGAAGTAATCAAAACACTCTAAACTAAACAAAAAAAAAAGAAACAATATCAATGAATTGAATGAAAAAGTTAATGAACTACCAAGTATAATAATAAAATCAAACGAAAAACTAATCTAAGCTATAGATAAAATATTCGACAAACTTAAAAATCAAAACAACCGAAAAACAAATAAAAAAATTGAAGATACTAATAAGAACACAACAAATACAGAGAATACAACTAAAATAAAAATTAATGAAGATTCCCCTTCCCTGCTAAATAAGGATAGGAAAGAGACAATGGAAACTAGCGAGAACGCTAGAAGCCTAATCCCCAAAAAGAACACAGAAAAAAGCAATATAAACAAGTCGCCTTTCCATTAGAGGAAAATGTTAAGCACAAAATGGTTTTAGAGGACTTCCTCCAAATACAAAACCAAAAGACATATAAACATAACTAATATAGAAACATGAAATAAATACAATACACATAACAAGCATGATGTCAAAGCTGAAAAGAAAGGCTAATGTTTATAATTACAGTAGAACAAGAAGACGTACCCAAGGCCAAGAAAATAACCAACCTAATGTACATACGAATAATAACAGAAGATCTAAGTAACAGCCATAGATCAACTTAATATTTTAATTGCCAGGGCATAAAGTATAGAGAACAGCACAGAAGCAAAATCTGCCAAAGTTCAGCAGAACAAGAAGCAAAATGCGCTAACTGCTAAGGGCAACATCCGTCAAGTTATAGGGTATGCTCATGCTCAAGGGTACCTGCTTGGGGAAGACCCAGATAAACAATAATAAAAAACAGAACACAACAACAGAAAAAAAAAATGAGCAATCGTGAACCAAAATCACTACACCCACACAAAATCTAGCAGCAGTTTCGACTTAAAAACGGTAAATAAAGCGATCAAAAATGTAAAAATATCACAAAATTAAGGAAAAAAGCTAGAGAATACCTTAAGATAGGTTCCTGGGATTCAGGCGGCATGAAAACAAGTGAGAACGTGCTGGACGACCTAATAAATGGATATGAAATGGATGTCGTAGCACAAGAAACTAAACTAACTCAGATCATCAACATCAAGTTTCCAGGATACTGAAACGACTACAGTGTAAAAAGGCTATGGGCATTGAAATAAGGGTTTGTATGGGTGGGTTTCTGGTAAATTCACAAAGGAAGAGGCGTTTTCGACTACTGCTTGTAAATAAGGCGAGACGTTTTGTCAATTTTTAAGTGGGGTAGTTATGCACTCACGATGAGTCTTAGCGGGACATTGGATTTATGGATTTTTGGAAGGCTGTATATTCTTGGAATTCGGGATGATTTTTCTCTACGTATAAGATATTTTTTGATTTCATCAACATCAAGTTTCCAGGATACTGAAACGACTACAGTGTAAAAAGGCTATGGGCATTAAAATAAGGGTTTGTATGGGTGGATTTCTGGTAAATTGACAAAGAAAGAGGCGTTTTCGACTAATGGTTGTAAGTAAGGCGAGACGTTTTGTCAATTTTTAAGTATTGTTCTGAAGCTATTTTCTTGTGGCATTGTAAATTAATTACTATTAAACTGGGAATAAGCCACAATTAAAGATAAAAATACGTTTATTGACGTTTCAATTTCCACTTCCGAAATCGTTCTCAAAATACAAACAGTAAATTAAACAAATTTTGTTTTTTGTTACATAGTGAAAAAATTCTTCTAATAATTTAATTTTATCTGACTCATTTATATTGACAATTTAGACATACATTATGCATTTTAAATTCTAATTATGCTAAATGAGGCCAATTGTGTCGCAAATTCCTCGGCAGAATGTAGTAGGATCTGGTTACCAATATTGAAAGAGGAAGTTATTAATAAGAAAATACCAGTATTAGTAAGTCAGTAACATCTAGAGGATACATCATTTATGTTTTTTAAATAACATAACATATAAAATCAGAATTTTGATGTTTGTTGAAGGTAAACTAAATTCACGAACAAATACTTACAATGTCGGGATAGTATTATGAGGTTTTTTTCCTGGTTTTTCCCTCATAATTTACTATGGAATCACTAACAGGAGAATTTTACTGTCATCGTCATGTGTTTGTCTTTTTAAAGACGAATTACATGCTATGATTTTTTTCTGACGGATATTCTCAAGTTAAAGTTAATTTCATGTAATCGAATGAACTATCTTATAAGTAAAGTCATCCCAGGAGCGCAACTCAACAATATTGGCAATATCATTTTAAAGTCGTCTACTTTAAAATGCATAATGTATGTCTGAATTGTCAATATAAATGAGTCAGATAAAATTAAATTATTAGAAGAATTTTTCACTATGTAACAAACAACAAAATTTGTTTAATTTACTGTTTGTATTTTGAGAACGATTTCTGAAGTGGAAATTGAAACGTCAATAAACGTATTTTTATCTTTAATTGTGGGTTATTCCCAGTTTAATAGTAATTAAATTTTTAAGTAGGGTAGTTATGCACTGACGATGAGTCTTAGGGGGACATTGGATTTATGGATTTTTGGAAGGCTGTATATTCTTGGAATTCGGGATGATTTTTCTCTAGGTATAAGATATTTTTTGATTTCTGGAGATAGAATAGACTTATTTATGATGGATTTAGTCGTTTTTTCTAAATATGTAGTTGGATGGTTTGGGACGCGTTTGTATTCTGTGTAATTGAGAAGTTCGAATATTTTGTCGAAATAATTAGAAGAGTTGAGAATGACGGTGGCATTACCATTTTATGCCGGAAGGATGACAATGTCAGGGTTGTTATTAAGTTCTTTAAGGGCACGTCTTTCTGAAAGACTGATATTTGACGGTAAGGGTTTGGAAGTACGGAAAATTCTGTCGACGTCTTGTCCGGCAACTTCGGCTTTGTCGGAAGGGAGATGAGACATAGCTTCTTCAGTTTGACAAATCATTTTTGTCAGTTGGGATGGAAACAGGAGTGAAAAAAAAATTCAAGCCTTTTGACAGAGTTTTCGTAGCAGAATCAGATATGTGAATATCTAAGAATTGGGAACAATAGTAGAAGGTTGTTGATTTTAAATGAGCTGTAGATTTTGCTAACATTTGGTCCAAGCTGCGTTTCTGAGTTTGGGTTTTTTTCAGAAATGTGTTGGGCTTTTTGGTGAGAAAGAAGATCGAAAGAGTCCTATAATAATGGATGTATATTGCAAGAGTAAATGTCATTGTAAGTTTTGAAAAGTTGGGAATTTATTGTGTCTAAATTGCGTCGGGTGAATTGAATTCTGACGAAGCGAAAAATTAGTTGCTTTAAGCCGTTGAGACTGATGTTGCCAAGTCAAGTCAAGTCTAGTCAAGTCAAATTTATTGATCACATGCGACATTATACAAAGTACATGTGTGAGACAAATTAAAAATACAGACATAAATCTTAAAATTAGATAAATTAATTAAACACGATAAAACATACTTAAAAATTATTTTTAGAATATGACTCTAGCTCACAAATGTATTGATGTACACACCTCCGAAAGTTTGGCTGATGTAAATTCATTCGTATATCTATTGGTAATTTGTTAAAGAAACTTATGGCTGCATAATGTG